GCCCCTGGCTTGACCCCCTTACTATAATAGATATAGTAAATTTATATATTTTTACATATATATACTAAAAAATTCATATAATGCCCTCCCTAAAATTTTTATTTTCTAAAATTATCTCTTAAATTTTGTATTTCATCTCTAATTTACTCTTTAACTTTGTTTAATATTCTTTAAAAAAAAGTCGAATTTTCCTTTTTGAATCAAACTTCAATTTTTTTCCCTTTTAAAATTGTCTCATTTTCTTTCATTTTAAAATTTTTTGTTAATTATTTATTTTTCTTAAATTATTTATTGGTTGACACATTATTTTGAATAATTTTTCCTCTTTTTCTTGATTTATAAAATATTTATTTATTGTCGTGATTATTAAATATTTTTTTACCCAAGTCATTTTAAAGAATAACTAAATTAAAGAGTTAAGAGAACAACAGTCACTTTATTTCATTTCATTCTTATCTATCAAACTAGCCCTAACTGTTGGGTTTCAGAACCACCTCACAAGTCGATCATGCACCGCCACAACCAACTTCAAGAGCTTGGTAATAAGAGTTATATAACTCCGCCAGGCTCATGAAATTTGACATCTATGGTACTAGTAAAAAAAGGTTTTTGAAGTTTTAAGTGATACTACCGTAAAAGACGAACAAACACGAATTGATAGGTACAACGACATCTCAAAACAACTACTAGCCCTAGGCCAAGCTGTGCTTTGTTGACTCGTGACCTCATCGGGGCTTTTTGATTTGAAGACATATAGGTTAAACATAAGCCTGAATCAATCCAAATACAATGCAATGCAGCACAAGTGTGGATAGATATAAGCGCATGACTGTTTTTCTTAACCCGTTTTTTATTTACGCCCTACTCACTAAATGTTGCTAAGTAGCATGATAAATTAAACAACCATTTTTATATGATATATAAATAACACGATAAATTAAACAATCACTTTTGTGTGGTACATGAATACATATACATATAAACATGAATACATTCTTAAAAAAAAAATATTACATATAAACATAAAGACATTCGTACATATTCACTAAATGTTGCTAAGTAGCATGATAAATTAAACAACCATTTTTATATATGTACGAATGTCTTTATGTTTATATGTAATATTTTTTTTTTTAAGAATGTATTCATGTTTATATATATATGTATTCATGTATCACGCAAAAGTGATTGTTTAATTTATCGTGTTATTTATATATATATATTATAATCAATTTATGTTTTTCATATTGTGCCTTAAGATATTGGAGAAAACTTAAATAATCAATGATATATGTACGAATGTCTTTATGTTTATATGTAATATTTTTTTTTTAAGAATGTATTCATGTTTATATGTATATGTATTCATGTATCACGCAAAAGTGATTGTTTAATTTATCGTGTTATTTATATATATATATTATAATCAATTTATGTTTTTCATATTGTGCCTTAAGATATTGGAGAAAACTTAAATAATCAATGTGTGTTTTTTATATTGTGAAGGGCCTACAACAATGACAGAACGCCCCGAATAATCGACCCGTTTACGAAGCAGAGTCTCGCGAAATCTTCCCTCTTTGCCTTCAATTACTTCTGAAAATGACTTGTAAACTTTATTACGACCGTCCCTCATTGGTTGTCCGTGAATTCTATAATCAAGAAGTGTATCCACGTCTTCTTGTACCAATTTCTACTGGCACATTACTAATTCTCTTGGCATAGATCTACTGGTTGTTAATAGATCGGTAAAAGTATTGTTTCGATAGATAACTCTTCGGTGGGTGTCCACAATTTTATAAGAAAAGAGACTATTGCTGATATAGAATTTCATTTTTCAAATTTATGCAGTGGATTATGAAATTGTCAAATAAATCTGGATAAGGAATTCGATAAATCTTAGAATTAATGAGGGGATGGAATTGATAACTTTTTTATTTTTTTAATCACAATGTATTATTTTTATATATAGCATATTGGATTAAATTTAATTATATGTGTTTATAAAAGAGTTTATAACCGGATTAACTACTTCTATATTACCTACTTTCCTAATTTAAACGCATAAATAAAATAAAATTGATAGCTTCTACTTCCCATTACAAAAGATATATCAAATGAACCTTAGAATTAAAAATTAAACATCTTCTAGAATCACACCCACTATTTATATTAGGAGAGCCTACAAATAAAAGTAAAGGGGATCTCACCGTATATGGTTATCGACTATATATTTGGAGATCAGACTCTAACTAAAGAATCTGAAGAAACATGCCCAATCAGCATAAATGTCATACTAGTGATATTTTCTCACATTTCAAAATAAAAAATGTGAAGCAAGTCAAGCCCCCATGAGAAGAAAGTGAGCACATAAGTTTTTTTGCCAAGATAATAATAATAATAATAATAATAGTAATAATAATAATAATAATAATAAGGGTCAAGCACACAAACACTCCCTGAAGTTTGAGGTAAGGCCATGCAAATGAAAGTTTGCTTATTTTTTAATGACACCCCCTTGTGAAATTTATCTTCCAAACAAAACTTAAAACATGTGAAAAGTCCACTTTACCCTTCACTATTTTATTAATTTTAATTATAAAATTTCAAAATACTTAAATGACCAAATTACCCTTTTCATCTCTCTCCCTATATATATATACACACTCACACACACACACAAACAACCACAGTCACCACCACCCCCAACCTCCATAATCACCACCCATTAAAGCAGATGCCAAAGAGGAGCTTTGCCTCTGCCACCGCCACCTCCTCAACCTAGTCGAAGCTCGGCCTCGGTTCGGACGAACTCGACCTCGAACAAGCCGAGTTTGACTTGGATTCCGGAGTTTTTTGAGGTGGCGATGACTGATCGCTGGAGGTGGAGTCGTGAGCAAGAATCAGCGTTGCGCACAGGACGATGGATTTTCGGCGTGAAACGGACAAATCAGCGATGAGAATGATTCCATAGTGAGCACTGATTTCCGGCATGAAGGAAATGGATCAAGGATTGACAGAGACGTATTGCCCACGCCAGCGTATTTGAGGATGAGATCGGTAGTTCTACCATCGTCAGATCTGGATGATGTGAACAACTGAGGATGAGATCGGTGGTTCCGCCGTCGATAATGAGACGACAGGGGTGGGGGCGGTTGAGGTATGATGATGAGGCGATGGCGGCTGAATAATCGACGCAGATCACTGAATAATCGACGGCAATCACGATGATTGCCGCCACTGTCGTAGTCATCGCCGCCACCCCCACTGTCGCAGCCATCACCACAATCTCTCCTATCTTCTTCCTCTTCACCTCATCTCTTCAACTATGAACCCCCCTCTCTCTACACCCACTATCGCAGCCATAACCACCATCCATCTCATCTCCCTTCTTCCTCTCTCTGTTCTCTCTCCTCTCCACCCACCATCACCACCATAAATAGATAAATATATATACATAGTGATGAACTGTATATATACACACAGGCAGGTTCAGGTTTGTGTTAGGGTTTGAGATGGATTTGGGTTAGGATTTAATCCAAATGTATTTAAGTCAATTGAGATGTTAATTTTATTTTAAAGGGTAATAAGGTCAATTTACCATCTTCAAGGTCTCTTTGTCTATTTTTCAAACTTAAAAGGGTGTCATTGTCCAAAAATAGACGAACTTTTATCTGCAAAACCTTACCCCAAATCTCAAGGGATGTCTCTGTACTTTACCTTAATAATAATATAATTATGAAAAAATAATAATAATAATAATAAATAAATAAACAAACCATACAAATATGGATATTACCTAATCTAACAACTTTTAATACCTTGCTCAGATGTCTAAAGCCAATCAATTTTTTTTCTCCTCCTTTTTCTCTCTCATTTTCATCTGTAAATGACCATCTCACCATTTCATTCCCACCTCATGAAAATATACACCAGCGGACAATTGTTAAGGGCAGAAAGTCTATCACCCAAGGTCTTGACCACGGTATTTTTGCAAACTAGTAATGATATGAAAACTCAAACTAGTAATGATATGAAAACTCGGAGCTCGTGACCCTTATCATACAACACTAAGTTGGCTTCCTCCAAATTCAGAGGGTGTATCATTTTTCAATACATAAATAATTCTGAAATTGAGAATCATAGAACGGATATCCCAAATTACAGCAAATCAAGTCAAAGCTCAAATGCCAGAGTCTAGCAAGTAATGAACATAGAAGAAAAGCTAATCATTAAGAGAGAATAAAAAGAGTGGAATTGAGAAAACAACACAGAAGAAGAGTCGAGACAACCGAAAAATCAACAGAAGCTCAAATCTGGACATCCCAGATTTAACCGTCAAATGTTTCTCTAGAACAGTCTAAAAGTGAAAACATAGACAAACAATTTCATCCAACTGCTTCAGAAGATTTCTGTCAAAATTTCATAATAACGTACCATAGAATGCCTACATTTTTATGATGATGAACTCACAAATTTCGCATAAACCATAAAAAGTGAGTTAATTATACTTTTATCAAGTTTTTGTAACACTAACTGTTGGGTTTCAGAACCACTTCACAAGTCCGACCACCACCACAACCAACCTCAAGAGCTTGGTAATAGGAGTTATACAACTCCACTAAGGCTCGTGAAGTTTGACTTCTATACTTCCAAGTCAAAGAAGTTTTTTAACTTTTCCGTAACACTACCATAAAAGACGAACAAACATGAATTGACTCAACTAGGTACGTGCCAATTTAGCGACATCACAAAACAGCCACCAACCCTAGGCCAAGCTGCATGTTTTGTTGACTCGTGACCTCATCAGAATAGATCTGGGCTTTTGCTCTGAAGACAAATAGGATAAACATAAACCTCAATCAATCCAAAGACAATGCAATGCAGCACAACTGTGGATACATATCATCCTATGAGTCTATGTGGAATGCATTATATAGAACCATCATGGTACAATGTCAAAGGTATATCTAGTCATTAATATTATGCGATGTATCACAGAAACTAAAAACAGGAGCCGGTGACCTCATATATTGATGAACCTGTATCTGTACAATTAACAAGACAAACCGAACGAAATTACTAGAGAACCTTCTATAATTTGAATGATGCCAGAGCAAACTAGTGTGGATTGCCTCTTTGTGACAGCTTAAAACTCACTGCTGGGCAACTAAAACTGATTTTTGGGTAAAGTAGCAACATTAGTGTGTGGAGGGGATAAGAGTTCCACTATCGGACTCGTTAGCTTCACCTTCACCCTGTTTAAGAGAAGCAAAAGAGAGAGAGCAGATTAATATTGCAGAAAGAGCAAATGGAAAACATAAACAAGAAAAAGTTAGCAGTTGCACCCATGACATACCCTAATACATCATGAGATGCATACCTGCTCAGTTATGGTCAGAGCATTATCATGGATTTTCTTAGAAAGATCCCTCAAGCTACCCTGCAGATAGTTTGATTATTTAAAGGTGAGATATTAATAACTCGGCAGTTGATGAGCGAAAAGCATAACAAGTTCAAGACTTGAAAAAACAAACATTGTCACAGTAGAATTTATAGGCAATGCGAAGGCTAAATATATATATATTTTGATAAATAATGCTAAGGCTAAATATAGTCGAGGCTTACACAAATTGATGAGTTAATGACATCCTTTGCCACAACAATAGGTGAAAACAAGCTTTGGAATTAGATGTGGCAGCCGAATGTCTAATAATAATATCCAAAACAATATATAACCTTTCCTTTTAAGAAGAGTCTACCCAACAGGAACTGTAAGCATGAGATATAATAATAGTGGAAGGCTAAATGTTTCCATAAAGAGGTTTTATATTATAAACTATTCAACTAGAATAGAAAAAGAGAGATAATATCATACATCAAACGGAATAGCAAATTAATGCAGCAACCCATTTTCTCACCCATGAAGAACATATTTGTATCGTGTCTATATTGGATACTGAAACACCTCAAATACTTGCGAATACGTGTCCAATACTTTCTAAACCCATCTATAATTTGAATTTTTTTTTTTCCTTTCGAACGCGTATCAACACTTTATGGAAACTTTGACTGATACTTATCACGTACTTTCGGCCACATGGTTAACAAATCTTGAACATTAAAATTTAACTTTTTGAAGTATAATACCATAGTCTACTTGTTACAAAAAGATTCACAAAAGATATTGAGATATAATGATAATATATCATGGCTAATTTAGTCTAAAATTTATGTCCATGCAATATAACTCTCAGCCTCAACTTGTCTGTCATAATTCTTTTATAAGGAAATATTATATTATATTTTTTTATATATATGTCTATCTAAGAAGCACAGGAATGGACACCGGACACAAGTTCAACATAGTACAAACAAGGTGATACAACAAACAAATCTCAAAAAAATAGGCACAGACTCAACATAGATTTTAAGATTTCAAATACTAAAAAAAAAAAAAAAAAAAAGAAGAGTAAGATTTCAAATAAAGAACACTCGAGTGGGGAGAGCATCCCATTTACAAAAGCCAATAATCACAAAAAGATGACCCTCTAAACTCAAGCTATCCACAAAACTCACAATATCCCAAATAGATTTACGATTAGACCCATTAACCCAAAGATACGTCAAAATAATACTCCTAATATAATATGGAAAGTAAATCAAACACCCCTATGGTTTACATTTTGCAGGGCACGTTACACTCCTATCGTTTATTTTGCGTATATAAATCCATACTAGATCGTAAAATGTTGTAACTAAGCGCCTCCTGTCAGACTACGGTAGGAGAGCCCTGTTGGCACATGACATTTTTAAGACCTGAAAATCCAAATATGCCCTCTCTGTGTACCGAAAATACCCGTCACCACATTCTCTATACATATGTGTATATATTGCCCCCCTCTCTCTTTTGTCTCTCTCTCTACCTCCCACAGATCTCTGTGTTCATGCGAATATCCCATGTAAGAGGGCTGCATGGCCCTAAATCTCCATGAAGCCACTGTTCTAAGTTCCCAATATCTACATACTTGTAAAAAAGCATCCTAAAAACCCAACCAATTACATCAACACATCTTCATTAGATGCTCAAATTAAAGTTAATTTTCAAAGATGAAATGATCACAAAATGTATTATTTGAATCATTCATAGAAATCTTCTAGTTTGTAAAGGTCATGATTCTAGAACGAACAAAAAATGAGGCACAAGGTTACCGCTTGTAAAAATACCCGTGACCTTCAGCACAGTAACCAAGCAACCTCCCCGTTCAGCTCTGGCTAATGGGTCGGATTCAGGAGATGGGTCAGGAATTGGAGCTTGGTGGCGCTTTCGGTTTTCAGGGTGAACTTGGGTCTGAGAAGGGTCGATTCTGATCTCTTGAATTTCTTTAGATACACATGGGATTGTGAGTTTGTGTGAGGACAACTTGTGTTTGGAGGAATTGTTGTTGTTGTTGTTGTTGTTGCGTCTTGAGGTGAACCAGAGAAAAATTAAGAACAGAACAAGAACAATTGCAGCCCCAACACATACACCCAAAACAACCCACAAACACAGACCAGAGGTTGAGGTTTAGAGAGCTCATTTTTTAAAAACACGGGCTTACCATCAAACATTCCCTCTCCCCCCTCCTTGTGTTAAAGTCAAATTTTGACAAATTAGTCACAGAGATACATCAAAAAGAGATGTCGAAGTAAAGAAGAAAGAAACAGAGCGTATGGTAGTGGAATGACAGATGAGGTAATGGGTACACTGTAGAGAGAGAGAGTGGGGTTAGAGAGGAGTACTGGAGTAGCAGCTGCATTGATGATACTTCTAGAAGAGGAAGAAAACCCCCTTTTTTTTACTTTATTGTCAATACATGAACGTGTATTATAAGAATTTTTTTTTTTTATACTTTCCAATTCGTGTCTTCTTCGGATGATGATGAAGATAGAGGTTCACGATCTTCCACGAATAGCTCCTTCAACGGAATTCGAAGAGTTGTAACATCAGGCGTAGATTCATGTTCTTGATCATCAACATCATCATGTGTCACAAGAACGCAATTGAAGATCGGGAAATCTGATTGGCTGAGAAAACGACAGCTCATGCAACGGATTTAGGGCAACTTTAGACAACGGGTACTCTAGTCTTTTCTCAGGTTCATTTTTTTATTGCTTTTTAATTTAGTGAGAGGGGTACTTCAGTCTTTTTAAAGCTCGGTTTACTAACGCCAGGCTCTCATTAGCACCTAAATTGAACATGAGGGGTGTTTAGAATGCAGTAGGGGGTTGTATGGACTATATGCATATTATAGGGGTGTTTTCACACTTCACCCTCTAATAATATAATTTTTTGATTTTTTTTTTTTTTTTGAAGTAAAAATATATTAGAAAAAGGTTCAAAAGGGGAACGCGTCCCTAATACAAGAAGAAAAAAGATCTAAGGACCAATAGAATCCAAGAGATCAAAGAAATCATCAATCGAGGAGCATGCATTTCCTCTTACATAACAAAACAAAGAACAAAGAACGAAGAATATGAATTTTTAAATTAGCTAAAGACGATTCTTTTCCTTCAAAGGATTTGTTATTTCTCTCACGCCACAAACACCACCAGACACAATGTGGAACAATCCTCCAATAATCACGAGCTTGTTCTGTAACAGCCTACCTTCTCCAAGCATTAATCAATTGTGAGGAGTGCTTAGGCATTACCCAAAAACTGCCAAACATGCAAAAAATAAAGCTCCAACAATCATACGCCACAGGACAATGCAAAAAAATATGATCCGCGGATTCATTATCAGCTTTACATAAACAACACCAATTAACAATGATGTTGCCTCTCTCTCTCAAATTGTCCAATATCAAAATCTTTCCCAATGTGGCAGTCCAAACGAAGAATGCAATTCGAAGAGGAGCTTTAGAACGCCAAACATACTTCCAAGGAAACTCGTGACCAACGAAATTAGACAAACATAAGAACATGGATCGGACACCATACCTACCATGAGCTAAAGGAACCCACAAAATATCATCACACCCTCTGCCAATATCCTTCTACCTATACAGCGTATCCAAAAAAACACAAACTTCCTCCATTTCCCAATCCTGAAAGGGGCGCCTAAACCGCACATCCCACGTAACTCCATTGTTATCAAGTTGATAACAATCAATCACGTAGACATGCTTATTGGCTGCAATATTGTAAAGTCTAGGAAAGGAGTGAAACAGCAACTAATCTCCGCACCAAAGGTCCTCCCCAAAACGGACATGTTTGCCATCATGAACTTTGAATCTAATGTGTGTGGAGAAAACATCCTAGCCCTTCCGAATGAATTTCCACACACCAACGCCTCCCGTAATAGTGACTGGAAGAGATGACTAGCCCCCACTCTCCTCACCAAAACGACACGAGACAACTCTTCCCCACTGACGATGGCGTTCCTTTCCAAATCTCCATAACCACTTTCCCAAGAGAGCACGATTAAAAGGAACGATTTTTCAAATGCCTAACCCGCCTAACCTCAACGGTTGGCAGACATGATCCCAATTAACAAGATGATACTTAAACTCCTCTCCCCTTCCACCCCAGAGAAAATCCCTCTGAATTTTTTCAATCCTTTCAGCAACAGAGCATGGAATTTGAAACAAAGATAAAAAGTAGGTAGGAAGGGATGAGAGAGTACTCTTAATAAGCGTGACCCCCCCCCCCCAGATAGATACTGTTTTTTCCATCCTGCTAATCTTTTCTCATATCTACTAATCACTGGATCCCAATTCCCAACTCGTGTAGAAGAAACTCCCAAAGGCAATCCTAAGTAAGGAAGAGGAAGAGAAAAAGCACCAACTCCACACCCTAGGACAGCAACTAAGGAGGATATATCTCGAATATCCCCCACTGGGACAAGTACACTCTTTCCAACATTAATCTTTAACCCAGAAACCGCTTGGAAGCAAGCAAGAATGCACCTCAAATATCTGAGTTGAGAAACTTTGGCACCACAAAAAACCAAAGTATCATTCGCGAACAACAAATGGGAGATTTGCATCTGATGTTCAACATCTCTGCCAACACTGAACCCCCTGATGTAACCCAAATCTTCCGCTTTTCTCATTAATCTGCTCAGACCTTCCATGACAATAAGGAAAAGAAAAGACGATAACGGGTCTCCTTGTCACAGACCACGTGAGCTAGCAAAAAAACAACAATTCACGAGCACAGAAAACATTACTGACGAGATACAAGTTTCAATCCATTTTATCCACTTGTCACCAAACCCCATCCAACTAAGCAGATACAGAACAAATTTCCAATTAACATGATCATAAGCTTTCTAGATATCAAGCTTACACAAAACGCCAGGAACCCCACTTTTTATTCTAGAGTCAAAACATTCCCCTGCAATAAGAACAGAATCCAAAATTTGCCTCCTACCAACAAAAGCATTCTGTGATTCTGAAA